CTATGCATGTGCCCTTGGCCAGAATTGAACCTGGGACCCTTCAGTCCACAGGCTGACGCTCTATCCACTGAGCCAAACCGGCTAGGGCTGTTGAGGATTTTTAAGTGTACAATTCAATGAAATGAATTACATTTGTGATGTGTTACGAATACCACTATCTATTTTTAAGGCATTTTCATTTATAGGATGAAGAGGTACCTGGAGAGGAGAACCTAGAGGTCAAATTAAGACTTTTCCCCCTTCTCTAAAAAGCAGTGCAAGACTTTAAGGTGTGAAGCAGGTCAGATTTTCATTCTAGAATGACTCCTGCTGTAGCTAGAGAATGACTTGGAGAACAGATGCTCTGAAGTGATTTTAGGGCCTCACATCCTGGCCCCTCCATGGCCCGGGAGAGACCTGACAATGGGCTCATGGTGCTGTACTGATTCTGTGTTGGTATTTTGTATTTTTCTTAAGGAGGGACTCCTGCACCAATTGTACAGGTTCTGGATCTGCCCCTCCTACTTAAAAATAAAATTTCAGGATAAGTTTATAAATCTTTACTAAGTAATTGAGGGAAACCCTTACTCAGGGAAAAATTAAGCCATCGTGTGACCTGTTGAATCAGTTATGGTTCTTGGTAGTGGGCCCTTCTGGCCGACTTAAGCAACATGAGAATTTATTGGAAAGATATTAGGGAAAGGTTAGCACATTTTTCTGTAAAGGGTCATCTTTGAATACCATATGCTATTTATTGTACAGTGTAATGAACCATTGACAAGATGTAAATGAATGAGCATGACTATGCGGCAATAAAGCTTTATTTATAAAAATAGGCTGCAGTCTGGGTTGAGTGAGTGATTCATAGTTTGCTGACTCCTGTATTTGGAGACTCCAAGATCATTGAGTGTTTGGAGCACAGGTTTGCATATGGGTGGGTCTACAGGACTCAGTACATGCATCACCCCAGATCTACTCAATCCTGTGTACTCATCCCTGCCTCAGCCACTTGCTCTGCTATTCCTGCAGATTCAGCCCCAATTGCTACCATGGTTATTACAGCATCATAGGTGAGGAGCTTGGGTTTATTGCTTAAGAACTTGGTGATTCCAGACAAATTGTTCCCTCGTGAGCAGGTTGAACTGGATCAGGAATACTGTGCCTGTGCTTCCTGGGTGCTGAGAGGAGAAAGACTTTGAAGCTAGACCCTAGTTAAGTAGAAAAGAAAGTGTGATTGATTAATTATGTCTGCAATGAGTCCTGTAACTAGCTGATGGCCAAGGTCCCTTCTGAAAAGCTACAGTTACGTGTCTGGATACTTCTTTGGGAATATCCCGGAGATGGAACCATCGTGTAAAATATATTCACTGGCGTGGAAGTGTGGCCTGGAGCTTTACAAATGCCTAACAAATTGGCTTTTATGAAAGAGACAGGATGAGATCCTGATCCTCTGTTCATGATAGACACACCAGGGAGACAGCTGGCCATCAGAAAAAGAAGCCAAATCCATAATGCTGTTCATATCAGCCTCATGGTCTAAGTTCATAGCAAAGATTCCAACATATAGTTTTAGTTTGACAATTATTATCCATTGTAACAATCAAAGATTTGTTCCCTGCCCTCAAGAAATTGTAATAGTGTCATCCTAGTAGGAGAGCAGAATTAAGTAGGAAGACTATTTGGGATGACTTTTTGGAATAATTAGGGGTGGGAGGTTGTGGAAAGTATTATAGGTGAAGGGAGAGAGAGGGCACTCCAGCTTGGATAAATGGCTTAGAGGCAGGTATGAATAAAAGAACATTAGCCTTGTTGGAAGGGTGAATTCATGATGGAGGAAGTGAGGAATGAGTTTAGATGACTGCTGGTTGGAAGTGAAATTATAAGGGTGTGATATATTAGGATGTGAGTTTGGCCCTGGTCTCTAAATGATGGGGTACCATTGTGTTTTCCTGGGTGTTCTAGGAAGATAAAGAATTATAGATAGTATGGAGCACATAGGAGGGGTAAGATGGTCAGGTGGAAAGGCAAGGAAGGAACCTGGTATAAACATGTGAGACTAAGCCTAGAGAATGACATGTTAGGGAAGAGAAGACAGATCTGAGACGTGTTTCAGAGTCAGGCTGGGCTGGGCACGGTGGTTGGTGGCATAGGAAGGTTGTAAGAGGAAGACTGTTATAGATAATGGCAGATTTCTGAACCTGGGGTCTGAGGTTGAGGGTGACAGGGGATGAGGTTGGACCAGGAAGTAAAGACATCTTTAACCATGAGTTTTCAATGGCGGTGTGTTGGTATTTCTAGGGTTAGGTAGCCCAGGTCAGGTTACCAATTGTTGGGGTTCTTCCTTCGGGTGTCAATTGTTAGAGCCCCTGTTGGGGCATTAATTGTTGGTATTCTTCATCAGGGCATTAATTGCCCTGGGGGGTTCTTTCCCCCCAGCCTTACTTCAGCATTCTGGAGAAAAGGGACTACACATAGATGATTAAGGAGTCCATGGACGAAAGATTTTATATATATATATAATTTTATTGATTTTTAAAGAGGAAGGTAGAGAGATTGAGAGTTAGAAACATTGATGAGAGAGAAACATCAATCAGCTGCCTCCTGCACACCCCCTACTGGGGATGTGCCTGCACACCAAGGTACATGCCCTTGACTGGAGTCGAACCTGGGACCCTTAAGTCCACAGGCGGATGTTCTATCCACTGAGCCAAACTGGTTTCGGTGAAAGATATTTTTGATACACACTGGGGGTCAGAGGAGCTTCTAGCTGAAGGAGTTAGAAGACTCTGCCTTGACCAAGGACCTGTGCTTTTATTCTCACAACCTGTCCCAAGGCAAGGTGGAAATACACACTTCAAAGAGGCAAGGTGGAAATATACCCTTCAAAGAGTATGGTATCAAAGGGTATTCAGAAACACTGTCAGCTTGGGGAATAGCCTACAGCTGTTAGGTGTTTGGCCAACAGGAGGCAATAAAATGCCTGAGCTGTCTGGCAGTTAATATTATTCCGGTTTGGGGGAGATGCTTTGTAGCATTTCCAACAGGTAAACTAGATGTGACTCAACTCCATTGAGCTCCCCAAGCTTCACCAACCTCTTGGTGAAACTCTTGTAGTTGATCCATGCTGGAATTAGTCCTCGGCAGTGGTGGATGTGACCACAGGTTATATCATGAGAAAGGTCAAGGGTAGAAATATAGAGACATGTATCTTGGAATTGGAATGCAGTACTCATAATCCAGCTTCCAACCCAGAGTTGTGTATGGTTTGAGGTGCAGGAAACAAGTTAGAGACTATCAAGACATATTAAAGGAAAGTTCATTCCCCAGTAATGAGCGGGACTCATTACAGAGATAGAGAAATTAGAATTAAATGAGGGGGGATAGGAGAAAGGACCCAGCCAGGCTACCTCCAGAGACGGAGGTGGGGAGAGCAGCACATGGACGGTTGGGGAAGCCTTTTGAGGGGAGAAACAGGAAAGGGTCCAGGGCACTTCGGCACATGCTGATTGGTGGTTCAATGTCTTGGGGATGTCTCTGTGGCAGATGCCAGTAATGTCATAACACCGCCCATCAGTTGGGAGGAGGGAGGATCTCACAAGCTGGAATTCCATGGATGTAACCTTAAAGGCTGGTTATCAAGGATTTCTAGAAGTCTTCCAGGGAGCTCCAATCTCCAAGGCAGGGAGAATTTTCATTAGGTGGTTCCTCTAATTAGAAACGTTTTCTGATAGATCAAGATTTAGCAGGCAGTGGAAAGGAGGTTGGGGTGGAAGCCAGACCTACTGTGTGGCATTTGACAAGCCATGTAACCTCTCTGAGCCTCTATCACACAGTCTACAAAATAATAGGGGGGTGCCGAAACCGGTTTGGCTCAGTGGGTAGAGTGTCAGCGGAGGATGGCAGGCACATCCCAGTAGGGGGGTGTGCAGGAGGCAGCTGGTCGGTGTTTCTCTCTCATCGATGTCTAACTCTCTATCCCTCTCTCTTTCTGTAATAAAATATATTAAAAAAAATAATAGGGGGACGCTAGAAAATTTGCCATCGTTCCAATTTGTTCTGATTCAGAGCGATGAAAGTTGTAATCATAAGAATGGATGAATGGATGGCATTTCTGGAGACAGGGCAGAGTCCAGGGGCTAGTGGTGTAGGTTGGGGTGGGGGTGGGGCAGTGTTAATTAGGAGGGAAAGATTCAGAAAAGGAGGAGCCCATCAACTACGAGGACAGTGTCAAGGCACCAGCTTGCTGGCCAAGAAAGACAGAGAATGATTCTTGCCTTATGAATTTTTAGGAATTGGGAGGGAATCTCTGGAATGGATGTGGGCTCAGGAAGAGGTTACAACTCTAAGGGGAGATTTAGAAGCCAGCAAAAAAATTTAAAAAAAATATATTTTATTGATTTTTTACAGAGAGGAAGAGAGAGGGATAGAGCATTAGAAACATCGATGAGAGAGAATCATCCACACCCTACTGGGGATGTGCCCGCAACCAAAGTACATGCCCTTGACCGGAATCGAACCCAGGACCCTTTAGTCCGCAGGCTGACGCTCTATCCACTGAGCCAAACCAGTTTTTGCAGAAGCCAGCAAAAATTTGATTGAGATGGAAGGAGGTGAGTGAGCATTGGTTTATTAGTGAAAAATCTTGAGCTTCATCCAGTTACATTTGTACGGGTATAACTCATAAAAGCTACCGTAGAATGAGTTTCACATAAGCAAAGAATCAGAAAGTGTGATAAGTGAGTACCCTCTTGGTTGCACTAATAGAGGTAAATAGCCCAGCCTGAGGGAGGAGATGTTATTGTTACAACCATGCCTGTGCTCAGTTTTAGTTGGATTGCTTTAAGAAGGACAGGGGCAGGTTGAACCTGCGTAAGGGGTATTATGAAAGGACTGAGTGACATTTACCTTTTGTGGGGGGAGGAGGGGAAAGAAGATTTTGGGGTAGTAGTGAGAGCTGCCTTTAAACATCTAAGGGGGAGACAGAGCACCCGAAGGGATGCCCCTCCCAGTCCTTTCTACATCTACTGCAGATAGAGTCGCTTCCGAAGGGTGCTTTGTATTTCCGGGTTCACTTTCCTTGCTTCCCCTTCCTGAACCACCTCTGCTTCTGCCATCCTCCGGGTTACCTGCAACAAGAGGTGTGTGGTCATCTTGAGGCTGGGCCCTGGGGCTGTTGATGTAACAGGCATATGGGGAGAAGATTAAAGAAGAAAGCAAGTGGGTATTCCTGTCCTCAGATGGGTGACCTTTATTGTCTCAATTATATTATCATCTCTATGGAATCATTGATTGGACATTCTTGTTATGTGTTATTTTCTAATCCACCATAAAAATCACATAACCATTAGAAAAAAAACAAAAAAACATTAGCCCAAACTTTTAACAGGATATTTTAATTTATCTACAGAAATGTATCTGTATATTATCTAAATTATCTCACATATTGCGGACTATGTCGTTTCCTGCATTAAGGAAAGTCATCCCTAGGAGATGGGCATCCTAGTTTCTGTGTTGGGACCTGGGTTGTATTTGGGGCTGGGAATAGGGGAAAGGGAAAATGCAGAAGGGTTTGGAGGCATCTCAGCCCAGTTTGTTTTTTTCCTGCTCAGGCTGGGTAGGGATACCTTATCCCTACTCACCTCAGACAGAAGATCCAGGATGGGTCCTTTCCTCTCTGTGAACACTTCAACCAGGGTCTGGATGAAGCCGGAGCCTTCTTTGTCATGTCTGTAGGAAAGGTACCCTGTGGATTGCAGAGAAGTGGGCTCAGGGGAGCTCCAATGGAGGTGGAAGGCTGGAAGTTTGTGTGGGGCAAGAGGGCCCGGAAGAGGCTGGGTCCGGGAGGAGTGTCTCAGGGGTCAGGAGCAACGGGCAGGGTGGGGCAAAGTGGGTTGAGAGCACATACCCTCCACCGTGGAGTATACGTGGAGGGCGTCCGTATATGTTGGGATGGTTTGGGGATTGTCTTCTGTGACCATCTCAATATTGCCTCCGCCTACTGTTTCACCAGGGTCCTTTTGTTCTGAAACACCAAGAAGAGGAAAAGTCAAAGTCAGGGAGAGAGATGGGGGAAAGGAGAAGGTCATGAGATAAATTAGCAACACAAGACAGCTGGGGCTCTAGGTCTGGGGTAGGGCAGGATCAGAAACACAAGCTCTGTGCTCTCGGCTCTGTCCCCACCTCCTCGACAGGCCTGCACGATGTACACCTTAGGCTTGGCTTTCAGGGCCTGGCAGTTCTTGTTATTGAGAACCTCAAAGAGGTTCTCCAGCTCAACCATCTGCTCGTCTTCTCCTTTGAGTTGACCTTCTAGCCCATGTGCCATGAGCACCACGAAAGCACAGCTGACGAAGTCTTTTCGGGCATCAATGGCCTGCTGGAATTTCTCCATTTCTTCCTGGAATTGCTAGAGCAAGAGGAATGGCCAGACTTAGGTGCATCCCTAGAGCCCACCTTCTGGTCCAGCCCTTCCTCCGTTGGCTGGGACTGACTTCACAGTACCTGCGCAGTGGGGTCTTTCTTCATGGTGCTCTCAAATCCCAGCTGCTGGAACATGCGTTCCAGGGCGACTAGGTCTGCCTCCGAACCTTCCCGGGCTTTGGTGACACACAGCGTCAGGGCTAGGCGGGCACCTGACATGTCATAGGCTTCCTGAGCCAAGAGATGACAAAAACCATCAAAGGGGTAGAAAGGTCAAGGAGAAGCAGGAGGTGTGGTCCAAAGAGGGGTTAGGGTAAAGTACCGAATGCCCAGTTACACTCAAGTTTCCGATTAATAATAATAATAAAAAAAGATTTTTTTAGTGTAAATGGAAACTTGGTTCTCAAATTTAATTTGTTTTGGAAGGCTGAGGAGCCATTTGTTTAAAAGCTGAGTCATTTTTTTACCATTAGAAAATATTTACAGCACAATTTCCCGAGGTGTTAACAATGCGAGGTGCAGTGGTAAACTGACTAAAACTCCCGCAATCTCTCCTTTGTTTGTCACCTGAAATACGCATGACTGATCATACAGGTATCCGCACGAAAGGGTGGTCTGGTCAGGAACCGAAGTTTTGTTGGACAACCGAGACACACTTTTCCTTTGAACAACTTGTTTAAGAAACAAATTGTTCGAGACGGGAGATGCTTGAGAACCGAGGTTTGACTGTGTGTCCCAAATATTGCATGGGGTATCCTTATAAGATTATTTGTTGTTGATGTGAAATTCTAATGTGACTGGGCATTCTTTAATAAAAAATAATTAAAATTATTAAGTAACATTTGTTAATAACATTATGTAATTTTTAGGTATACAGCATTATAATTCCATATCTGTGTACTATCTTGTGTGCTCACAATAAAAAATCTAGTTTGCTTCTAGGAATCCAGCTCTGTTTTAGTCCTGCATGAACTCAGATATCCTCCTATCTGAGCCTCAGTTTCCAAATACACACAATGAGTGTGTGTGTGTGTGAAGGATTTTGAAGGATCCTTCCAGTTGTCACATTTGGTGGCTTTGTCTCTTTGTCCTTTTCATGTGTGTTCTGAGTATGTCTTTCTCACTTGTATAGCTCTCCAAATTTCTGAAGCTAATACTGAGATCCTATCTTGACATCCCATCTTAGAAAGAAGAATGTTTGGGTCAAAATTTCTTTCCAGAAGAGAAGCATGATACTTTGAGAGAGATGTAATAGGACTGCCCACCATCTCTGAGTGGTTTTTTTTTTTTTTTCTTCTTCCATTTGATTGATTACAAAGCACCTTCTAGCTCCGAATTCAGGTCATGATTTCCACATCCTCTCCACTGTCTCTCAAACATTAATCTCTTCACCTCCCCTCTCCTCAAAGGCTCCCACCCTTCTCCCCAAACCTGCACCCATCACACCTCCTCCAAAGGCCGGGGATTGCTCATGTCTCCTCTGATTCTGAGTCCGGTTCTCAGCACCCTTGATTGATCCTGGGGGTTCAAGAGAAGAGAGATTAAAGGTCTCCAAGGGAAGGCTGAGGGGATCAGGGTACAGGCTTGTTTGTGCATCTGGACTTTTGAGACCCAGTGATGGGGACTTGTTTCATGGTCAAATCTGAGCAAGAGATGACAGTCCATGAAGTGTGTCCTCTCTACTGGGATACTCCAGTGGTGTTTCCCACCCCTGAGTGTTCCAACACTCTTGCTAGGCCCACCCATAATGCCACTTATCTGGAAATTTCCCGTTCTCTCCCCCAGGACACTCACAAGCCTGTGAAAGACTGAACTCATGACTGGACTGATGAGCAGGACAAGTGGCCTATGTATTCCCTTTTGCCACCCAGGAGCTGACTGGTTGAAGAGGCAGCAACAAGAAGATGGGTTGGGTTTAAAATGAGAAGATCATCAAAGTGAGGAATACGTAGGCCCTCGGGTTACGTTGGAGATCCGTTCCTACAGCGTGATGTAATGGGATTTTCGCTGGAAGTCGGAACCCACCTACATAAGCACCTACGTCGCTTATATGGAGCACATACACAGCAGTAACGAAGTGAAACAGAAAAAAAAATGTAAAAGATAACAATTCCTGACCTTTACTTGCGGTAAATAAATAATAAAAAACATAAAGCACATACGTTTATACTAATAAAAAATGACTGAACTTTTTTTTTTAATAAAAAAATGGGAGATGGTGATGTAATCACAAAACAACGTATGTGGAGTCCGACGTAACCCAAAGACTGTCTGTACTTTGAAACACTCCCTCTCTCTGCCTTGACCTGGTACCTTTAAGAGCTTCATTCTTATCTGAGTCTTGTTCTGTTTTCTGGCTGAATAGAATGGCTTTTGCCATATTCTTGGTGTTTCCCCATCTCCTTGCCTCTTCTTACACTTCTTCCTCAGCCTGGAATGTGTCATTACTAGTCAAGGCCCTTTTCTGCCAATTTGGGCAGGCATCATGTCTGTCGTGTCTTTCCCCACCACCCCTTTATTTCTCCACTCATCTATCTGTTTATCCATCTATTGATCTATCATTTGATCAGTTGATGGACTCGTTCATCCATCCATTCACTTCTCCACCCAATAACCCATATATCAATCTATCCAGGAAATATTTTCTGGATATCTATTATGAACTACACACTGAGAATACACTATATAAGACAGACATGCTCCCCTTGCCCTCATGTAGCTTTAGTCTATGACATAAATAAACATTAAATCTTTCTCATTCTTTCTCTCTTACACACACACACACACACACACACACACACACACACACACACACTGGAACCAGTGCTGTAAGGAAAGAGAAGCCAAATACTGTGAGGGAGAGAAAGTAGAAGGACAGAAGGAGCATGGATTCTGGAGCCAGATAAACCAAAACCAAAATCAAGTTCTGCCTTGGCTTCTTCTCAGCTGTGTGACCTTGAGTATCTCACTCTCCTCTCGGAGACTCAGTTTTCCCACCTGAAAGGATCTTGAAAGAGCACTAGATGCTTTACTGTCAGAGCAAGCAAGGTAGGTGTAATGGTCTTGTTAAGCTACCGAAAGTTGCCCCAGACTCCACAGCTCTGCCTGTTTAGACTCGCATTACAGCGATGTTTTTGACTTTGATTTTCATGGCTGAGCGGACAGCTCAGCTTTTAGCACTTAAAAGCCTGATTTCTTTATCTCCATCTCCATCAGAGTCAGCACAGAGTGGGTGCTGGGGAGAATTTGTTGAGCAGACAAATAATAAACAAATGAAAGAAAGGATGGATGGAGGAATAGGTGAAGAACTGGCCATGCATTCATTCAGTGAGAGGGGGAGAGAGCGCAATGTCTGCCAAATCACTTACTGATTCTAGAAGTAGCTGCTCCTTAAAGCCAAGTTGTCTCACTGCTCTCTTAGTTGCCAACAAGGCTGGGCACCAAAGAGGGTTAGACCCACGTGCTGACTGTAGAGAGGGAGCTGAGAGTGCAGACTCTTCCCAGGTTTCTCTGGAGGGGCCTGTCTGTAAATTGAGCAGCAGAGCTATCTGGGTCTTTATTGCCCGTAAGTTTTCTGTCACTCACGAAACATCACGACACAAGGGACACACCCTTGATGAAGAAATGGACACAAACGCCCACAGATTGAGCGATGACAGAGCTCAGCCAACACCCCCTGTCTAAGGAGGCGGAGGCAGAGCATCCACACCAGCTAGGGCTCTTACACCAGTCCCGTCTCCCTCAAGAACAATTTCCTCCCTGCCCCGATCCCTGGTTCAGCTCATCTGGCTGTTATCAACCCATCATTTTCATCATCATGCCCACTTCCACTGCTTCCACATTCAACCATGCAGATAATATCAACTTCACTTATTTATTCTCTCATCGAGTATTCATCAACCTGAAGAGACCAGCATTGTTTGCTCACATTTTTTTTTTCCAGAAAAGCAAACTGAGACTCACAGAGGTAAAATGACCACCTAAGCTCACTCAACCAGTAATCAGCACAGTTGGCATTCAAATCCAGAAGGGTCCAACCTGTGCCCAGTCCAATGGCCTTAACTGATACTTCACAGCTGATTCAGCTTTTCTCTTTTCTTCCTCATGACCTTCCTCCTCTATTCTTTTTTAGCCTTTATTTTATTTCACTTCATTTTATTTTAACAGCTTTAAAAATATTAAATTCACATATCATACAATTCACTCATTTGAAGTGTACAGTTCAACGTGGTATGTGTGTGTGTGTGTGTGTTTACTATATTAACAGTTGTGCAACCACCACCACGGTCAATTTTATTTTATTTTATTTATTTAAAAATATTTTTATTGATTTTACAGAGAGGAAGGGAGAGGGAGAGAGAGCCAGAAACATCGAATCAGCTGCCTCTTGCACAGTCCCCACTGGGGATGTGCCCGCAGCCAAGGTACATGCCCTTGACCGGGATGGAACCTGGGACCCTTGAGTTTGTAAGCTGACGCTCTATCTGCTGAGCCAAACCAGTTAGGGCCACCAAGTCTATTTTAGAACCTTTTCATTGCTACAAACAACAACAACAACAAACAAACAAAAAACAAAACCCGTGCCCCCCCCCCCCTTTTTTTTTTTTTTAGAAACCCGTGCCTTTAATAATATCCCCCAATCACCATCCAAATCTCTCAGCCCCTGGCAAACACTAATCTATATCCTGTCTCTATAAGATTTCTCTGTTACAGACATTTTTCATGAATAGAATAATATAATTGTGGTCTTAAGTGTTTGACTTCTTTCAGCATAATATTTTAAAGGTTCATTCATGTTGTAGCCTATATCAGTATGTCACTCCTTTATGGGTAAACAATATTCTGTATAGATATACCTCATTTTGTTTATTTATCCATCTGTATATAGAAATTTGGATTGTTTCCAACTTTTGGCTATTGTGAATGATGTTGCTTATCAACATTAGCAGGTAAGTCATTGTGTGGACATAACTTTTCATTTCTCTTGGGCTTCTATGTAGAAGTGAACTATTCAGCAGAACTGGAACATTCCCATAAAATGCTGCAGCCACCGTGAGAAGCAGTAAAGATGGCTCCTCAAAAAATTAAACACAGAATTACTATTTGATAAAGCTATTACTATTCCATTTCTGGGTTTATTTTATACCCCCAACATTGAAGCAAATATTAAAAATATTTTTGCGCACTCGTATTCATGGCAGCTCATTATTCGCAATGGTCCAAAGGTGAAAGCAACCCAAGTGTCCACTGACAGATGAGTGGACAGAAAAACGTGGTCCACCCATGAATATTACTCAGCTTTAGAAAGGAAGGACTTCTGACACTTAGATAAACCTAGAGGACGTTATGTTAAGTGAAAGAAGCCAGACACATAAGGATATATGTTTTCTGATTCCACTTATATGAGGTCTCTTGACCAAATTCATAGAGAGAGAAAGTAGAATGGTGAGTGCTAGAAATTGGGGGAGGGGGACAGGGAGTTACTGTTCCATGGGGACAGAGTTACAGTTTTGCAAGATAAAATAGTTCCACAGGGCCCTAACCAGGTTGGCTCAGTGGATAGAGCCTGTGGATTGAAGGGTCCCAGGTTCCATTCCGGTCAAGGGCATGTACTTTGGTTGTAGGTACATACCCAGTAGAGAGTATACAGGAGGCAGCTGATTGATGTTTCTAACTCTCTGTCCCTCTTCCTTCCTCTCTGTAAAAAAAAAAAAGTCAATAAAATATATGTTTTAAAAAAAGTTCTGTGGGTGGACAGTGGTAATGGTTATACAATAATGTGAATGTACTTAATGCCACTGAACTGTAAATGTAAAAATGGTAAAAATAGTAACTTTTATATTATGTCTATTTTACCACAATAACAAAAAAACAAACAAAATCTGGGACATTATCATCCCCCCAAGTCTTTTTTTTGTTTCAAGGTAACTCAGGCACCAGATGGGGCAGTTTCTCTTCAAATCCACATTTCTGCATTGACTTACACATTTATAGCTGTTGGTTACTTGGCATCTGGCCTGGCTCATAAATGCTTGATGTTGTCAGAATTGACACTGTGTTCTCTAACCCTATGGGTATAAACTGGGAATAACACTACCTCCGCCATTACAACTATAGTATGGAAACATCTAACGTAAGTTTTGGGTGTGGAAGGGGGGCTCCAGAAGAGATGCTCAAGAAATCTTAGTAGGGCATGAACCAGAATGGTAAGGAGAAAAGAATGATTCTCCATGGATGGGAGCAACTGTAAGTTAATTAACCAACTGATTATTACTAATGCAATAGATGCCTACTTTTGTTACTTGATGAAATTTGATTGTTTTATTTCTTATAGTGAGCTATCTTTATGGAGTTCTCATGGGGGATCGAATAGCCCTTAGAGGTTCAGGTGACCAGTGATGAAATAAGGCTACAGGGGGCTCTGAGAGCATGGGGGATTCCCTTGACCTGGCCCAGCACAGAAAGCAGAATGG